TAAGCTTAATAATTGATTGATTGAGCATGTTTATTAGGTTAAAATCCATTTATACAACAGAACATCAAGTTGGATGGAAAAATAAATGCTTGACACGAAGCGGAAATCACTTCAACTAGTTTCAAATACTTAATTTTCATCAAGCAAACTTAATATTTACATGTTATTAATAGAAGATTACTAATTGAAATTGTCATCAAATTACCAAGTAATAATATTTCATTAATATTAAAACATTGAATAAATAATTTTTATACATTCAAATACTTAATTTCAGATATTTAATATGCCATAGAATTAATTGCAAATAGTTAATAAATAAGATATATTGTTAATATAACAATTTAGTAAATACCATAGTATAAAGAATAAAAAAAACAAAGTTGAGGGATTAAATTTTAATAAAAGAAACAAAGAAAGGGGTGGTCTGATAAAAAAAACGAAGGGGGTGGATCTGATAAAATAACGAAAGGGGGAGGGGGATTAAAAACAGAACAGACCGTCTGTTCTGAGCGAAGCAAGAAATAGAGAGAGAAAGAGAGAAAGAGAGAAAGAAGTGAAGATAAGAAAATAATTAATGCTTCAAAGCGAGAGCACGAGATAGAGAAGAAGAGTAAGGGAACGAGCGAATAGCTAGGGCAATAAAAGGTAGAGAAGAAGGAAGAAAGAGGTGAAACAAAAAAAACAGCACCTACTTGCTCAGATTTGGACTCGAGAAGTGGTGGAAAATGAATTTTTGATTTGTGGGAGTCAATTTGGGTTGGATTTGCTCAGATTTTGGACTCAAGGATCTCTAGTAAGCAGCTCTCTCTCCCTTCTTTTATTATTTTTTTCGTTGCTCTGAGAAGAAGAAGACGACAATTGGAAAATCTCTCCTTTTTTGCATTGAATCTGTTGTCGAATCATCTTAAAGTTTTGACCAAAACGTCAATGTTTCGACTGTTTCGGTCGAAACTCTGGAATTTTTAGTTTCTAACCCTTATTTTGTGTTGGTGTGTTGAAAATCTGAAACATTTCGGACATGTCGACACAATATTTTGATCCTTGAATGTGATACACAATAAAAATCTTTTGTTCATATCCTGTTAAAAAAAAATACATTGTTCGTTCGAAAACTTTATATAAGGCACCAAAACTCCGTCCCTTCCAATCGTAAAACCCTTAATATGATCACTTCTCTTGCTCTCTCTACCAAGCGTCCAAAATCATCAAGTACTATCTAAAAAAAAGAGGGATAAGGGGTCAGTAGTAGCCAACACAACAAGAGTTTAACAGATCTCTTGAATGGGATGAGGTGAGGTTGAGGTGCTAGATCTATGTACGCCATCCCATATCCCAAAGAGAGAAAAGGTTGTTGGGTTGTGTATGCGATAGCCGTGCCTTAACTATCAAGTGTGTCTTAAAGTTGTGAGCCAGTGGGCAAAGCAAACAATACCTTGATGGTGGGGCCAAGGCATTCCGAGGTCACCTTGTCAAAGACCCCTGTGCTTTAAAACTTTTTCTTGGCTTGAAGTCAACACCCATACCAACCGAACCAAGTCTTATGTCCCAATCATCTGAGGTCAGCTATATGAGTCTATTTTCGCTATTCATTTCAGTCATGCATTATACGTTCATTTAAGTTAAATATTTTCATATCTTTTTTTATTATTTCATTCAATATTAACTAAGGTCTACCACTACTCTTAGTACCATTAAGAGAAATTCTATCACTTTTTCCAACCGGTGCCTTTATCGACCTCTATTGAACATGACTAAACTAACTTAATATATTTTCTCTCAACTTATCTTCAATTGGACATACTCCTATCATTTTTCTATTATAGTCATTTCGTATTCTATCCTTTCTAGTTTTTCCACACATCCACATTAACATTCTCATTTCTATTACACTCAATTTTGTCATTATGTTATTTTCTAGTTGTCCAACATTCTGTCACATCCAATATTGTTGTCCTTCTAGTTGTTTGATAAAACTTATTTTTCAATTTTATTGACTTCAAGTTAACAACTACTAAAAAATTTGTCGAAGTTTAACGTCCTAACCTCCTCTGCTCCACGTACTCCAAAAACCTTTCTTCTTTAAGGCAAAAAGCCCAAAAATTGCCAACCATTGTGGTTATAAGCTTTAGTCAAACGACCTTAAAAATGATTCTTTCCTTCATATTTGATCTATATACCTCTATAGCCTTGTTGGCACTAAAAATCTCATCTAAAGTTTGACGCCCTAACACAATAGCACTTTTAAGAGTTCAGTGACTCTATTGTGTAAAGTTTTGACTAACGTGTTCTCGAGGAGAGTGAGTTATTTTGTCAATTTCACAGGCCTTAAATCACTAATCTTCAAAGAGTTCTCCAATTTAAGAATAAAAGATATAAAAAAAGAATTTTGTAGAAGTATTAACAATCCCCATACAAAACATTCATCAAATAAAATTTAATCACATCCCAACAATCCTTAAAATAGTTATGCAAACAACATCTGGCCGTTGAGCAACTACACTCAGGAACCATAGTTAAAAGTCACGGTATCGGCCATTAACTCGGAAAGTACTGATACACATTAGTCGCGGTGTCACGGTATAGTATCGGTTGATCCGTTCAAAATGCTAGATAGAAGACCCAAATTTTTTTTTAAAAATTATGAAAAATTCTATAAAATATAAATAACAATATTCATGCATTATATGCCTAATATATTATCTAACACATTAAAAATTATGAAAATAGATTATAGAGGCGCTGTCGAAAATAAAAATTATCAATGCTATATCAATAAGAAATAATCATCTACAAATTATTAATTTTTTAAATACATTAGATCCCAACACTATGGAATACAAATAGTTTTTTAAGTTTAAACATAATTTAATTTAATAGTAGGATCTGGTCAAAAAAAATTTAATAGTAGGATAAAACAAAGAACATACAACAAAAAAAAGAAATTAGATCATACCAAAAAACATAAATTAGAAGAGAAAAAATAAAAACCAATGCAATTTTTTAATCTTTTCTGTATGTCGTGTATAAGAGTTTTACTAGTGCCTTTGACCTTTGACCGCTTTGTCTTTCACTTTGGCTTTCCGAGAGGGAGAGAGAGAGACAACAGACGAGAGATGACCAGCAGATAACGAAGAGAGAAGTCCCGAGGGAAAGTTCACGCGAAGGCAAGGTCCTCTACTACTCGAGACTCGATCACGAAGGTTGGGTCCTTCGCTACTCGAGTAGTCCGATTGTCAAGCAGTCTAGGGTTTCTGCAATTGATCTGCAATGTTGATCGATGATGTTGGCTTCTCTGCTTCTGCGAAGAAAAAGGAAAGTAAAAACAAATAGTAGGAAATAGTCTCCGATTAAGGAGAATTATCACAATTTTTCAGATTTGTGTTTAATTTTGTTCTAACTTTCATATTTTGTTTTATTATGGTAAAAGGAGGTTTGATTTAGGGTTCAATTTCTAATCTTTTTTGCCTTTTTTTTGGGCATTTTCTTTGTTGCTTGAAAGTTGGTGGACGATTATTTGCGTATTAATTCAATTCGAAAGTGAATCGGCCAAGTTAAACCAAGTTTGTCCAGTTGGACAGAATTGGCCTGAGTTAGAACCAATTCATGGTAGACTCGTGATAGTCCTGTATCGTGCATTGTTATCGGATCAATGCTTGCCAAGGCGGATACAACTTGGCCGATACTTTGAACCTTGTTAGTAACTGCCACTTTAACTTCCTCCATATCATATAACAAGAGACATTTTCTACATAAAGAAACTAACACATTAGCGCAGAAGATACTTATGATTTAGATGTACAACCGTCATGCAATCAATCCAAAACAAGTCTAGTCCCAATTGTTTGGGGTTAGCTGACTACATAGAACTTTATCTCAAAAACTAGCTAATTCAACCTCTACAACACTTGATTCGTGGTATACTCAAAGACATTAGTCGAATCGGCCGAGTCATCCTAGTAATGGCAATTTAATCATAGTGTATCACCGATATCTTTGTGCAATGTCGTGATTAGGCTTTAACCTCTTGCCACATTCAACTTCTCCGTCTATCTAGAATTTTGTACATATTACTTGATATTGTTCTGTGACACCGTGATCACTGTCTCTCAGTTCCTCCAAATTGATGATCGTTACCTCAACCTTAAACCATTGGCCAGTGGGACCACCACAACTAATACCTCAAACACCAATCCTTGAGTTGGACAACATCCACAACCAACACCATGGATAATGAAATAAAGTCACTTTGAAGTTTCTTATGAACTATAGCATGGAATGGAGCCACGACAAAGAAGTTCCTAGAGTTATGAAGCAAGCATCAAGACTGTAGAGGTCAAAGATAGAGAACGGGAATTGAACTTTTACCTTCAATTGATATCAAGGTAGAGGACCCCTTAAGATGAAGAAGTCCGATGATTAAGAGAAGCATTTTGAAGATGAGAATAGGTATGGGTAGTAATCGGAAGCTTCTCACTAGCCAAAATCTGATCTTAGAACATTCTGTACTCAGAGTTTAGATTTAATAATAATAAAGCGGTATAAACCTTAGTAGTTCTTGTGGAAAACTATCCTTTTCTATCCCATTATTCAATAACACGAAACAAAACTCTAAATTATTTATGTACATCAAAATCATACACTCACCTGGTTCTCCTACATTTTTCAAATTACATTGCACATTAAATGTATCCATTTAACTCTAAGGCTTCCATCAGATATTATAAATTGCAGTGCAGTTATTTCCACGCCATTTATCACAAAAACCGAAACTAAGTTGCAAGAAGCAGCTTATACCATGGGAACTCTTCATAACTTGCTCAGCAAATATGTTATCCAACACCCTCTCTCTCTCTCTCCACCTTGACATGAACGTCTTATCAACTTCAAATTTAGTAGCACATATAAGGTCTCAATTATTCAGGAAAGAACAATTAAAAAAATCAATTAATTCATTAAAGAGAAACAGACGACAAATATTAAAGCAAGTCAACCAGCAAATTATCATTCAAGTACTCTTATATGAAGAGAAACATCACCTTTTGTATCTGACAACAGGAGGCCTCCCCAAGAAATTTATAAATGTGGTTTGGAAATGAGGACTTGACAGCCACGGTGTCACCAAATATCTATTATTCAACAGAATGTAAGAAACAGTTCCCATCATTTAAGAACAACTTTCACAGTGCCAATGTTGCTTAAAGCAAATAAAAAACACATACTAACAATAGCTTACTTGTTTGAACTTATTGGAGCTAAGAGTCTACATAAAACTTTTTTCTCACCATATCACATTGTGGCACAGGGGTCATCGCCCCCTCAGATTTTCAAAAATACCCAAAATCCCCCTTACATTTCCAAAATTATTAAGCACCCACTTTGGTTTACAGAAATTCTTATATATATATATATAGGGTACTTCATTTAGTGCATTTAAAAAGTTTGATGGTCTGATATTCAATAACCAAACAAGGGATATCGGGCATATGGATGTGTGCTTCTCTTGCAGACAAATATACGTGTTTGGTTGAGTTTGACAACCAAAAGAAAAAAGGAAAGTTGCTGCAAAATTCAAGTACAAATATAACTCGTATCACCAACACTGTACTACCTCACAACTAACTTTTACGGTGATATTTTGTGATACTAATATGCATGATAATAATTTATTCTTGTCATTACATCATGCCATAAATGAGGGAATAGGTGGATGGGGCGAAGCCAAAAAATTATTATTGGGTGTACACTTTAACAGTAGTTGTTAGTATTGTACGATATGTGATATGTATCATAAAATACGTGTCAATATATCAAGAAAACGATACACATCGCTTAAGTGTATCGAGAAAACGAAAACATACTTTAAAAGTGTTGCAAAGTTCATCATAAATGTCGTTGAAAATGGCTTTTTGTAATATACCCAATCATGCAATTAGTCATCTATTTATCACCCCCCCCCCCGGGAGGTTACAAAGTGGGTCTTCACATCTTCATAGATGACAATGCTCCTTCTATAGCAACTGGCAAAATCAACCTAATTACGTAACCTAATGCATATTCTATTTCTTTTCTAGTCTTAACATTTTGAGAAAAAACGCCAATCCCTACTAAGTTTTAAAATTTATTGTTTGAGTGTACATGAACAATATAGTTGTTAAGTTGATCAAAAAGTGACAATAGATCTCAGATAAAAGAAAGTGGCATCTCACTGGAGGGAAGCATATTGTCGGGATTGCACAGTTGTTGAAGGTTGTACATCCGCAATCACTTCTTCTTCCCTCTTAGTCCCATTCTCTTTTTTTTCTCTCTCTCACATTGAGACACATTTAGTTTTTTTAACTCCAAACAATTTTATAGTTTTAAGTTGTCCACTTTTTTTTATATATACTTAAAAACTAACCTTGTATTTTACTGCAAAAGGTCTCTAATTTTATACAACAACAAAATAACTCAATATATCCAAAAACTCATCCGGGTGTGTTTGAAGTATGACTGAAAGTTAATAGTTTACGAGTCAATACTCATTGATATTTCATGAAGATAATAGGGTGGATACAATTGAATATGCTTAAAGGATATTTAAAATATATATTTATATATATAAGTAATATTAAAAAAAAAAATCAAAGTGGACACGTGTTCCCCAAACTTTTAGTGGCTCCGCTACCAACTGTGAAACTAACAAAAATTAATCGTAGTTACTAACTACAAATCAATTGTCAGATTTTGTGATCCAAAATTTTTTTCTGGTGGATAGGAAAGTTGTTTCTTGATAGATTTAGTATAGTTAAAAATTTGACATAATTTGTTGAATAACACACTAAATTTTTTTTGAATGGGTAGATATTTCTGTGTGACCCCTCACAATAAAATCCTAGCTCCGTTCTGTCTATACCCAATGCATGCTCCCAACACTTTTGACTAACAAGAAGAGATTCAAATTGGGTATTAATTTTTTTTTTTTTTTAAATTCAAAAAATATACCTTCCATGAAGAATTTGACACTTCTTGGCAACACCTTCGTAGATTTTCGAGCACGGATTATACGTCAATGACACGGGACTTCCTCGAAAGCCAGAAACAAGATTTTCGAGAAAATGGAACTCCAAGAAGTTGTACAAGAAAACAATGAGGAAAAGAAACAAACCAAACACATAATGTGATGTGGGTATCTCTTTGATAGCTTTGAAAAGGAGTTTGTAGGCATTGGCCGTTGAATCTATGGATTCTAAGCATTCCATGAAACGATACGAAACGAAAATCAAGAAACAAATACGAGTTTTTTCAAGAGCGAAATAAAATGGGTGTTCGCTGGTTATGAGCGAATTAAATTGAAGGCTAATGGGTTTATATTGGGAGGATAGCGAGAGAGAGAGAATCGGGAGGGGGTGGATTTGGATGGTGGAGGAAGGTGAACAAATTTTTGTAGTTTGTGTTGGTCGTGTCAGGAGGTGAAGAGTGTTATTTGCATTCGTTGGTTGTTGTGAATTAAATATGGTTTGTGACATTTAATTTTTAGGGTGAGCAGTGTAACATGTTTTAATTTTTTTTGAAGAGATTGTAAAAGTTTATAAATTTATATTTATTAAAATTATATTTAATATTTTTTAAATATAAAAAATTAAAAATCGATACATATAACATGAACAAAAAAAATAATTAAAATTTATTATCGAGAATGTAACTAATTATTATTACTTATAATTGATCCTGATATATTTGTATTATTTGAAAGAATTATAAATTAATTTTATCAATAATATTTCTTTTATATATAAAATCACAGTAACAACCTTCCATTTATGATCTTATAGTTTATTACATAATGACACATATTTTTATACAATAACGAAATAACCCTACAATTTAAACAAATTATAAAATAATATCAATATATTCAAAACATATTCGAACATGTCTAAAAGTTAACAATTATATTAGTTGTACCTAATTTGAGCTTTAATTGATGGAGACTCAATGATTTGTGATCATTGGATAGATAGTAGAGTTTATTAAATATTAAGACTAGTTATTATACTTAATATCGCAATGTATTTAAATCCTTAAATTATATTTCAATAACATTGTTTAAAAATTTAACAATCATTTAGGTAGGGGTTTATTCAAATCAATATCACCAAAACACAATATTAGGGTGGGCACAATTAAATATGTTTAAATTTTATTTCAAAAAATACACACTTAATATGAAGCAAAAAAAAAAAATTTGAAGGGGGCCAAAAGTTTTGTTTTTAATGTTGGGCCAAAAATTTTATTTTTTTAATAAGTTTGAGTGGATTGCGATAGGTCAAAGATTTAATTTTTTAATAAGTTTGGGTAGGTAGTGATGGACTCAAATTTTTTAGTTTTAAATTATTTTGGATAAATAATGTGGGTCTAACATTTTTATCTTGAGTTTTGGGTGGATACAAATAATATATTATACAAATCTATAATATATATACCTAACTAATAAAAAAAAGATTTTTTAGGTGTGGATACAATTTTTTAGACTTATTTGAGCAAAAGTATATGGATAAGTTATTTATTCAATCAAGTACAATTTTTATAAAAAAATTTTGTGTTTAAGTACAAAATTCAAAATGAATTAAAATCCTTTTTACCTAAACACCCTTCCTTAGTTTATGCAGTTATCATTGACAGTTATTTGAGAAAATAAATATGTAAAAATTAACAATAATAATGAGTGGTAAAATAGGAGTTTACATAGAGCGAGAAAAAACAAAAGCAAAAGTATTTTGTGCTAGAAGATGAAGATGAAGGAGTGTGAGTGAAAAAAAAAACAAAATATATATATATATATATATATATATATATTAATACAATCTATATTAAAACATTTTGTTGGAAATAGTTTTCAAAGTATTGATAAAAGTAAGAAGCTTTTAATGAATTTAAGATGTCCCACCTTAACACATTTTAGGTGGTATAAAGATATATTTTTAGCTAAAGTTTTATTACGTGCAGATGCTAATAATGAATTTTGGAAAGAAAAATTTATATCTGGATTGCCCAGTTTAATTGATGAAAAAATAAGGATTCGTTTAAAGCAATGACATGGAAGATTTAAAATCCCTTATGAAAATTATACTTATAGAGAACTAATATTTGAATATATTTTCGGAAGGTTTAGCTCTCTGTAATAATTTATACCTTAAAGTTCAATTTAAGAGACAAAGACTAACTAGTAGAAAATAACTTAGAGAATTTCGTAATCAATTTGCTTATAATCTTGATATTCCAAAAGGTAAAGTTTCCAATAAAAGAAAGACTTCTTCTAAACCTTATAAAAAAGGTCAAAAATTCTATAAGAAGAATTTTGATAGGGAACAAGAAAAGGCTAACAAACCCACTAAAAAGGTCAAAGAAAAGGACAATAAGCCTCTTCTTAAATGTTTTAAATGTGGAAAAGAATGTCATATTGCCTCTAAATGTTTAATTAAACAACAAATTAATTAATTAATTAATGATGAAGACCTTAAAGGAAAAATCTTTAAACTTGTATTAAACTCAAAGAAGACTATCCTGATAGTTTCTCGTCTGAAGATAACAATATTAATGAAATCAGTGATTTGTCTGCAAATAAAGAATTTGTAGAACAAGATAAAACTTGTTCTTCATATTGTAAAGCAGAAAACGATTATTATAAAGCTATTTTAGCTATGAATGGATTAAGTATAAATACTTTGACTAAATCATAAATATTTATTCTTGATCTTATAGATAAAATTCAAGATCCTGATTCTAAAAGAAAAGTTATTAAACAATTTTTAGAGATAAATCCAGAAGAAAAGATACCTAATTTGTCTCAACCGTATTCTTTAAAAGAAGTCATTAACAAAACCGAAAGTGACATGATTGAAAATCCATTCCAAATAAAGGAAGTTTTGCCTACTATGGTTCAAGACTTAAAGAAATAAGTTCATAATGTCAAAGAAGACATAAAAGTCTTAAAGACTAGGCTTTTAGCTTTAGAAAAAATATCACTTAAGGAAAGTGACATTAAGAATGACAAAGCATCACCATCTAACTCTTCAATAATGAATACTTAAATGTATTAAAAAAAATAATTTATCAGAAATGGTATGTTAAAATTATATTAGTTATAAATTTTGAATTTACTGTCGAAACTATTGCTTTAATTGACAGTGGAGCAGATATGAACTACATAAAAACAAGATTAGTTCCGATTAAATATTTTGAGAAAACTACTCAGTCAATAAGTACTGTCGATGGTTCAAATTTAAATATAAATTTTAAACTCTCTAATATTTTTGTATGTAACCAAGGAATTTGTGTTCCTACAACTTTTATGCTTATTGATAATTTAAATCAATTGGTAATTTTGGGAACACCATTCTTATCTTTAATCGAACCTATAGAAAGAATTGATTCTAAATGAATTTTGACTACCATAAATGGTCAATAGATATTATTTGAATTTATAACTCCACCTCAAATAAAATTGATAAATCAAATAAAAGAAAATTTGATTTATAAAGAAACCCAATTAAATTTCTCATCAATTTCTAACATATTGGGAAGTGATGCTTATTTTGCAGGAAAAGTCCAAGAAGTTTCAGAAATGAGTCATTATCCAGATTCATTTTCTTTGGATCTTATTGCCAAAATCTCTAGAACTTCTTGACTGTATTTGTGATTATGGAGGTGAAAATATTTTTAGCTTTACTTATACCTGGCATAATAATTATTGCAAGGTTTCACTTTAGTGTCTCTATTGCAATGTTATGGAAGATCAACTAAGTGATCATGTACCTATATTTTTGCTAAAAATTGCAGGATGCCAAAGAGAATCTTTAAAAAAAATCTTTAAAATTTCATCTTATACTTGAACTTGATGACTGGTATTATGATTGAAAATATAAGCAATTGATGAAAAATAAAGTACCTGAAGGATTTTGTCAAGAAATGATAAATAAACTTGGTGGTATAACGGTTAGAACCCAAGTTTTTGCATATAAAAATGCATACTATTCTGATGAATATAAAAAAAAAAAAATTATGCATATAGAAGTACATATTATTTCAATCCATATAAGGATGCATATTATTTTAATGCATATAAAAATATTTATTATCCTCCATTCTCTATAAAGAGATTATGACATAAAAGTAATACTGATAAAGTAATCCCATCAAAACAACTTAAAGTTGTTACATCCTTGTCAGATAAAGTTGACAATAAAGAAAAGTTGTCTAGAGATAAATCTCTCTCTATACCTAGACCTTTGACTTTATGTCCATATATGGAGCTTAATTTACATTTTTTGATAAATTTATTGAAAGGATATATCCTTATGATATTTACGATCCCAAGCTAATCCGGGACTACCAAGTTAGTTACTGGAATAATTACTCCATTGACTCTGAATGTCAAAAAATTGCAGAATGTCTTCAAGACATAGATAAAGAAGAAGATAAAGTTTCAACGTTTACAACCGTTGTTCCCACTACCAGTATAAATACTGAAACTAATTTCAATCCTGTTAAAGTTCTTAACGAACTAATTAAAAAAGAAAAATTACATTTAAATCCTGAGCAGCTTCAAGCAGCAGTTATGGAGGAATTTCTTCTTCCGGTTATGTCTACATTCGGAATGGGCAAAGCCAAAAAGATGGATCTTGTTAATACTTTTTCAATTTCCATAAAAGGCAAAGGAAAAGATAAAGTTGAAAAAGAATATAGAAAATCTCTTACTCCTATTAATTCTGATGACGACTTTATGAATTCCTAGGAATATACCCCTCTTAAAGGTGATATTACTATTAATGAAGCTTTGCTAAATGATAATATGGAGATAAATTTTCATAATGACAACGATATTATTTTCTGTAATTTGTTTTATAGAAAATCTCGCACGCCCTGACGTCACTATATGAAGAAGTGACGCACGTCCTGACGTCACTATAAAGACTGTGAATAGTGTACAATAATATACAGTAAAAGTGTACAGTATTTATGATGTCATGAACATTATAAAATTGTGAATAATATAAGATAGTTTTGAAATCTGGATTTCATGTTTGGTTTCTATAAATATGGGTGCAGGCCCGACCTGTGGAGCACCACCCTACACAATCCCTCACCAACCCTTGACTTCCTTCTCTCCCTTCTTTGCACCCTTTGTGAACCATCTTCTCTTGTAAAAACTTCCATCTTTCACCTTCCACCACTACTATTGTAAGTGTATTTTGTAAAAAAGTTTGAATTAAATAAAAGCTTTCGCTCATATTTTGTCCATAGATCAATCCTCCCCCCTTTTGGT